CACACAGACACTTGCAGACACACACACACACACACACGCGCGCGCGCAGACACACACACACAGACGCACACACACACATACACACACATGCAGACACACACACACAGACGCACACACATATACACCCACTCAGAAGCGCACACAGCCACAGACACACACACTCAGACTCAGAGACACAAACAGACACTCACACAGACAAACACAAAGACACGCACACAAACACTCATACACACATGCAAACTCAGGCTTATACTATACACATACAGATGGACAGACACACACACACACACATGCACACAAATACACATAGACATTTACACACACACTGACACACACACACACGCATACATCCAAATACCCTCACTCAAACACACACACATGCACACACACACACACACTTTCTTCACACACATACACACACCACACACACACCCTCTCTCTCTATCATCTTCGCTCGCTCGCTCTTTCTGTGCACGTGTGTGTTGAGTATAATGACAATGTGTGTGTGTGTGTGTGTGTGTGTGTATGTGTTTGTGTGTTTGAATCTGTATGTGTGTGTGTGTGTGTGTGAGTATGTACGTGTGAGTGTGTGTGTGTGTGAGTATGTACGTGTGAGTCTGTGTGTTTGTTTGAGTGAGTCTGCATGTGTGTGTGTGAGTATGTACGTGTGAGTCTGTGTGTTTGTTTGAGTGAGTCTGCATGTGTGTGTGTGAGTGTGTAAGCCTGAGTGTGCATGTGTGTATGACTGTTTGTTTGTGCGTGTGTGTGTGTATTTGGGTGTATTTGGGGTGTCTTTGTGTGAGTGTGTGTCTGTGTGTTTGTTTGTGTGAGTCTGTATGTGGGCATGGGTGAGAATATGTATGTGTGTGTGAGTGAGAGTGTGTGTGTGTATGTGGTTGTGTGGGTGTGTGTATGTGTGTGTGTGTTTAAGCCTGTGTGTGCATATATGTGTGTATGGGCGTTTGCGTGTGTGTGAGTGTGTGTAGGTGAGTCTTTATGAGTGTGTGTATGTGTGTGTGTGCGTGTGAGTGTGTGTGTGTCTGCATCTATGTGTGTGTATAGCAATGAGTGTGTGTATCTGTTTGTGTGTGTGAGTGTATATTTGTGTGAGTCAATGTGATTGTTTCTGTGTGTGTCTCTGTGTAGGCGTCTTTAAGTTCTAGCCAAGATGTTAGTTTGTCAAAACCAGACCTGTTGCATGGAAACTTGATGTGTCTCAATAGTTCAGTAAGCGCAAGGAGGAAACAGAATTGTTTCCCTTCTGTGTTGCCAGAAGCTAAACTTAACCTTTTTATAAAAGACAACGTTCCACAAAGACGTTTTATGCAGGCCAATCTGAGGTTGTTTAATTAATGAATTGAAAATTAGCATCACCGAGTTGACTACTTTTGGACACTGATTTGTAATAGTCATTCCATTCGCTCATTACAAAAAACAAAACATGTTTAAAAAAAAAAAAGAATCAAGTACACCTGGTTTGTGCCGTGTCCTTGGACAGAAACACCGACAGATGTACACATTCTTCTTACATCCAATTAAAAAAACGAACTTTTTCAAGCTGACCAAAATCAAAAGCTAGCTGAAATTAGGAAGGGAGAGAAGACTCAACAAACATTGGTCACTGCGAGTTCCACCAACAGCTCTCTTTTTTAAATTCTCCGTACCTTTCTTACCAGTCTATATTCCACTTCTCTCTACCTTAAAAAAAACACACACAAGGTGACAAACAATGAAACAAATATCTTGTTTAACTTTGCGAACACACTTACGCTCCTTCATTTCCCTGATATCACATTGTTCTGAATATCTGGGCAATGTTGCATCAGATTAGTTTACGGTTTCTTTGAACAAGCAGATAAGTTCGTCTTTTTCTAAATAGTAAATCTCCAAAATGACATCATAGTAATTATTATAAAGTATAAGTGTACAATACCCAGAGTCAAATGTAAAGCAGCTATGAAAAATTCTTTAATCTCAAGAGAGACATAGACAATAGAAATTAAGAAGAAAACATCTCAGCCGCAATAATCTGGGAGGAGTATATATATATTTGCATCAAGTTGATTTTGCCATTTTCCTTACACTGCTTTCAGTTTTTAAGTTCAGCATATCTCTTAATAAAGGGTGTAATACCCAAGACATTACCTATAAATAGGAAATAGAACAGAAAGCTTCCTGGCCATCTCTATGTGCCGTGCCTTCAGTAGTGCCATTCAGGATGTACCAGAGCATGCGAGACATTAAAAAATATATCTCCCATTTTTAGTAGTACCCGAGCTCAGTCACAGAATTATTAATTCCCCAGCAACATGAATTTCAGCTGGCCACTGCTCGAAGATTTCCTATCATGCCGCTCTGCCCTGCTCTAGACATGATCAACAGAAGCAGAGAAAATTAACAAGAAAGTTCCACAACTGGCAGGGCAGACACTGTGCGCTCTTTCTGTAAAGTAAGTCAATTCTCTGACCACTGTATTCCTCAATTAAACCGATGATGACCCAGTTAGAGAAAATCACTTCATGTCTCTCAGCAGCTGCTGCATGTAGTCCAGAAATGTCCCACTGTCCAGTTGATCCTCTGGAAGTTTGCCTCTGATGGATGCCTGAGGCAGAGGGGATAAAATGATCATGAGATATACTATTCAGTACGTAAGTGAAAGTGGATGACACAAACAGACTTTTTCAAGAATACTATATGTAACAACATCATAAAACACGTGTACAACACACATATAACTATTAAAACTATAACAGTAAGATATACACAACACAGGGAGGCTAAAAACACTCTGATTTGGCTTTTTTTCTGATACACGTATGATGAAAGACACTGTAAAGCCAGTTCTGCCACAATATCATATATTATATATACAGTGGAACCTGCCTTAACGGAAACCTGTGTAAAACGGAAACCTGTCTTAACGGAATCTCCCCGCTCCCCCTTGATATATTCCTCTTTAATTACCTGTATAAAACGGAAACCTGTCCAACGTGGAAACGGAAAGCAAAATCCGCTCCCTTCCGAGGGTTTCACCTGTCTAAGACGGAAAAAGTTTTGCCCCCTCAGCCCTGATTTGAAACGAAACTCGCAAGTTTGGTTCCGCCGGCTCTAAACTTAACGCCATGGCCATGCCGCTGGGCGAGGAAGAGGATTAGGGGGGCAATTTGGGGGTAGATGTTACACCATCATGTGAGCCCTGAGCGATGCAGATGGTCAGTGTAGTGTGGGTGTGAAATCTCACGACTTCCCGTGAGA